TGTTTCAAAGTAACTTACCTTTTTGTAGTATTAAGTTACCTTAATTTCCTACCTCCATGTATTTTATTTTCCTTTGGGAAAAACTCTTCCAGGGCATGACCTAATGAATTCTGGTTCAAATTTCCAAATGAAACTGGACCAAAGTGATTCTATAATTTGGTGGAGAGAACCTTCTTTATATACCCTAGTGAGGGATTTTTTACTGTTTCATGCCAGACTGAAGTACTTTTCTTGACATATTGAAATTGAACTTGAACATTTATGAGACTATAAATAGCAATAGCACGTTATAACGTGTCATGGGGCCACTGGAGCCATAGGTCAAGGATTTTTTACTTTCTCTATAATCCCATTAAAAATAGTAATGTTTCAAATTATTTTTCCTTTAAAATTTTAGAAAAATATGCCTCATTCTCCAGAGAGATGTTATCTTCAGTTATTCTTATAATTTATGTTCTTGAATGGGATGTGTTTGCAGAGTTTTTATTTAGCTTGACCCAAGTGCAAATTCAGTTTTATAGGTATGGTTAACCTTCTCTGTTAAGCCTAAATATATGAAAGTTAATTTTTGCTTTCTCCTCTGTATTCCTGACTTGTCTGCAATCTTCATGTCTTGAATGCTCCCTAACATTACAACTTCAAGATAAAATTCTTTTTTAACTGCAGGACTCTAAGCAGTATACTATAATCGTACATATCATGGTTATGCTGTGTGTAATACCTGTAGCTGAGTTTGATCTTTTTCTTTGACATTTGTTCTGTACCTCTCAAATATTTCAGCTATACCTTGCAAGAGCTGCTTGTTGTTGTTGTTGTTGTTGTTGTTATGTGCCATGGAGTCGTTCTGACTCAGAGTGACCCTGCACAGGGTTTCCAAGGCTGTAAATCTTTATGGGAGCAGAAAGCCTCCTCTATCTCCTGCAGAACAGCTGGTAGTTTTGAACTGCTGACCTTGCGGTTCACAGCCCAATTCATAACCACTATGCTACCAGAGCTCCTGCAAGAGCTGCTTAGGTCACTCATTATTATCTTTCATCTTTGAAAGGGAGCCCTGGTAGCACAAGGTCAGCAGTTTCACACTACCATCCACTCCACGTGGGAAAGATGAGACTTTCTGCTACCCTAAAGATTTATAGCCTCAGAAACCCTATACAGGGTCACTGTGAGTCAGAACTGACTCCCTGCCACACAACCACCACTACTGCCACCACCCTCTTTGATGTTATTCTGAAGCAGCATGGCATGACTAATAAATGTCTTGAATTTTTAAAGGTTATTTGACTAAGTTTCTTTGTTGTTGTTGTTAAGTACTGTGGAGTCGGTTCTGACTCATAGTGACCCTGCACAGGGTTTCCGAGACTGTAAATCTTTACGGGAGCAGAACGCCTCATCTTTCTCCCACGAAACTGCTGGTAGTTTCGAACTGCCGACCTTGAGGTTAGCAGCCCGATTCGTAACCACTACGCTACCAGAACCATGAAATTTGATTTTTTTTTTTTTTTTTGCTAACAAGTTGACAGAACCTTAGTCTTTGCTGTGAATTGCAAGAAGAGGTGTTGTACATATTTAACTGTTAACATTGATGTGCATGTTATTTGTATCACTGTGCCACTCATGGTAATTGGTTATAAACAATAGAAACTGACTCTATCCTAGGCCTGGGGACTTACGACCATAGTGACAAGGACATCAAGATCAGCTTGCATAACAGCACAGAGATAATGTTCTCGACCTTACTTTAGTGAATAGTGACTACTAGTCCTTAAAAGTTTTGGAGCAGTCATTTCACGTGCAACTCTGGGTCTCTCCATGTCTGGAGCAAAGAAGAGTGAAGAAAATCAAAGGCAATTAGTCTGAAGCGCCAATGGACTACAGGTCCCCAGCCTCCACGACTCTGAGACCACAACTGTACCGTGCCTCATTACCTGCTATGAAAGGGATCACAATATTAAGTCCAGAAAAGAATGGAAAAAAATATTTAGGATACAACTCAAAATAATAAAACAAACTAAACTGACTGGTCTAATAGAGACTAGTGGTACCCCTGAGACTAGGATCTTCCAGTCTGGAACTGAACTCACCCCTATGACTCAATTTGATTAGCTACATAGATTCATAAGTGAACATTAATACCAGTTAGGTATACGGTCCTTAAAACAATTAGCCATATGAGATCAAATGCCATTTAAGACTCAGAAGGCAGGCAGGAAGGGTGAATGGCAGTGATACACACAGAAAGGAAGATAAATAGTGCTGTTGCATGCAGAGAGTGCAATCAAATTCATGAAATAAAGTATGTGTGAATTATTGCATGAAAAAAAATTTTCTCTGTAAACTTTCACTCGAATCACAATAAAAACTTAAAAAGTCATGAACAAAATGGAGTCTAGTTGTTTGAAGACTATGGAGACTTCTATATGCTGGAGACTCAGCAGACGTTAACAGCAGTTCTTAAAGGGAAGCATAGCCCCATTGCTTCTACCACTGTGAGCGACCCCTAGACATCTCATCATTCTTCTGTCATTCAGTCTAACATCCAACTAAGCACATACAATTATCTAAGCCCTAATCGTGTGACTCCTCTGCTGTCCAGATAGCAAGGAGGAAGAGGAACTGGCCTTTTTATTTTTTGTCGACTATAGTCGCTATGGGTCGGAACAGACTCGAAGGCACTTAACAACAACAACAACATATACAATAAAAGGATCTCTGGTAGCATAGTGGTTATGAATCAGACTGCGAACTGCAAGGTCAGCAGTTCGAAACTACCAGCTATTCTATGGGAGAAAGATGAGGCTTTCTGCTCTTGTAAAGATGTATAGCCTCAGAAACCCTGTACAGGGTCTCTATGAGTCGGAACGGACTCCACGGCACATAACCACCATACACAATAAAGTAGTCCTGTTGTGGCACTGTGGAATAAGCATTGGAATGTAAATCATAAGGTTAGTGATTCAAACCCACCAGTTGTTCTTTGGAAACCCTATAGAGGATCACTGTAAGCCAGAACTGACTTGATGGCACTTAATAACAACACACAATAGAAGGAACCTTGGTGGCACAGTGGATTACGAGCTGGGCTGCTAACCACAAGGTCAGCAGTTCGAACCTCCCAGTCATTCGTCATGAAAAAGATGAGGATTTCTGCTCCTGTAAAGATTTATAGTCTCAGAAACCCTATACAGGGTCATTATGAGTTGAAACTGACTTGATAGCACTTAACAATAACAACAGCACCCAATACAAGATCCCACATAGGAAGGGAAGTAGCTTTCTAGATGTTGTTGTTGTTACTGCTCTTGGGTTGGTTCTGACTCATATTGACCTTCTGTAGGGTTTCTGAGGAATGGCTGGTGGGTTTGAACCACTGATTTTGTAGTTCAAGCTGACCTTGTAATCTGGTGCTTATCCTAAAGCGCCATACCTGGATACTTCTTGATAGGAACAGATTCTTTTTCAAACCTACCAATGTTTACTCTTTCCATAAAAGCAAATTCACCAATTCTGAGAATCTGTAATAAAATAAATTAGGAGTTTTCTGGGCTATCATGTTGAAGCTGGAAAATCCAAACCCTATAACATTATCTGAATTAACTTGAAACTTCAATATTATTGAAATATTGAAGAAGACAAGAATTTACATTTATTTGACTCTAATATCTATGCTATGGCAGCCACAGTTAATACCTCAAATGACATATTGCTTTGGACAAATCTGCTGCAAAAGATCAATTTAAGGTGTTAAAATAAAAAACAAAGACCAACTTGAGGATTAAAGTGCTCCTAACCCAAGCCGTGGTAATTTCAGTCATCTCAATGTGTGTGAAAGCTGGACAATAAGGGTAACTGAAAAAGAATTGATGCGTTAGAATTTATCATTTAGGTAAAAACTGTTGAAGATACTGTACATGAACAATGTATACATCTTTCTTGGAGAAAGTATTCCCAGATTGCTCCTTAGGAATGAGGATGGTGGGACTTCATCTCCCATATTTCAGCCACATATTCAAGAAGGACCAGCGCCAGGAGAGGGACATTGTGCTTTGTAAAGTATGTTGTTGTTGTTGTTAAGTGCCTTCAAGTAGGTTCTGACCCATAGCAACCATGTATAGGGTTTCTGAGGAGCAGTTAGTAAATATGAAATGCTGACCTTTCAGTTCAAACAGATCTTGTGCTCCAGTGCTTATCCTAAAGCATCACACCAGGACCCCTGGTAAAGTATGTTGTGTTTGTTAAGTGCCATTGAGTTGGTTCTGACCCATAGCGACCCTGTTTCCAAGGAGTAGCTGGTGAGCTTAAACAATCAATGTTGAAGTTAAAACTGACTTTGCAGTCCAGCGCATTAACCCACAGTACCACACCTAGGGCAACAAAAAAGAGGAAAACCCTCAGTGAGATGAATTGATGTAGTGGCTGTTAACAGTGGACCCATACAATGATAGGGATTGTGAGGCTGGTGCAGGACCGGACAGTATTTTGTTCTGTTATACATAGGGTAGGGTCGCTATGATCAGAACCCATATGGTAAATACCTAGCAACACGAGCAATAAGCTTGGAAAAGTTAAGTAGTTTTTCTAATTAAAAATATATATATGCAAATGTTACATAATCTTATAGGTAAGATTTCTCATATGTAGTTGCAACATGAGCTTTTTTCTGCTTAAACAACTTAATGTTTGATTGTTGTCATTATAATTATTTTAAAGTATTATTTTGGTTCTCAATGATTCTGCTCACCTATCTGCAATTTTAAGGAGCACCAGTGGTATAGTGGTTAAAGTGCTTGTCCATTAACATAAAAGGTTGGCAGTTCAAACCCACCGTTACTCCACAGGGAAAAGATGTGGCAGCTTCATTGTAGTTGCAATCCTGAGGACTTTCTACTCTGTCTCATTGGGATGCTGTGTGTCTGAATTGACTCAGTGGCAGTGGATTTAGTTTTCAGTTAAACTGCAATTTTAAATGAATTGATAGATATTTTTCTTTGTTTCTTTAACAGACAGGCTAGCCTCAATGAGGCAGCAGAGAAGTATTATGACTTGGCAGCCAAGCTGAGGCCTAATGTAAGTATTTTCTTAATGAGAAGTATTACAGTGTGGTCATTTTGAGGACTTAAAAGCATCTTGGCTCTGTGTCATTTTCTCTCTTATCTCTTAGCCTAAATACCCATTTAATGCTAATTCAACAATAGTATCTGCTAGCCTCAAGCATCTTTCTTTTTCCAGAGATAAAAATTGCTATGTTTTCTAGCATCATACTTTTATCATTTGAATAGATATTTTAGCATTACTAAGTACTTTGCAATTGGATGATTTTAAAAATGAATTCCTTGAACAGTTTTTGTCTTTTTTTTTTTAAACCACAGTACTAAGGACCCATAAAGTTCTTAACATCATAAATGTGTTTTGCTTCTTACTTGCAGTCAAACCTTTAGCTGTGTGCCTCTTTCATATTCTGTATTCCTCGTTTCTAATAACTATCACTTTTCAACTTTATCAAAAACGCTTTGATTAGAATTTCTCCCTGGGTAGTCACACTACTAAGAAAGATGGATATAAATCAGATCATTACAACTGAAATAAAGTAACCATTTATGAGAAAATAAAAAGTGGTTTTGTATCAGTCTTCTAAGCACTTTTTACTCACTGAATTCTAGCACATTACCTTTGTTCTCATACACAGCTCTGCTCAGCATCTTCAATCCTAAAACTCTTTATCCTGCTCTCTTCTCTGGACCTAGATTATCTATTGAGAAATGCAATTTTGAAAGAGTAATGAAAGTGCATTTGTTATATGACTACAAATAATGGTATCAGTCTCATTTTTTTATATATATAATAATTCATCCACTGAAGCAGTGTGTACAAAGTCTTGCTGTGTGATAGAATGCAGAGACCTCATACCCGAAAAGACCACACAACGTAGTGGTGAGAACTGAACATAATCAACTCATTTAAATACAGTGTGGCAGTTCCGATAAAGAGGCATGTATAATTCTTGGGGAGCACCCCAGAGGAAGACTTCTTTTTTTCTGAAAGAGGCCCACTCAGGGAGGAATTTGTGTGTGTGTGGGGGGGTGGGGGTGGGGGGACAAAAACAACTGGGTTCCATTTAACTCTTGCAATCCCAGGGAGGAACTTTTATTAAGCATTTCAATCAGGTGTGACCTCAGCCTTGAATGTAAATTTTTTGCTTCATTAACTATGAGGTGTTTCAAGAACTGCTGAGCTGTTTAGAACAGCAGAGAATTATTTAGTAATTTCAATATTAAGAAGAATAACAGCTAAGATGTGTTGTACATATACTATGTGTCAGGTAAAGCACAAGGTGCTTCATGTGAATTATATATTCAGGTTTGTACATCAGCCTACTAAAATGCTTTATGATCCTCATTTTGTTGAAGCTCACAGAAATGAATAGTATACTATCACAGCTGAAAAGTGATAGTCATATTCTAATTCTGATGAAAAAAAAAAAATGCAGCCTTATCTTTGAGAGGAAATGTAATAATAATGGTTCTCTCATTTATTTCTTAAGTATATATAATTTCTAAACACCTACTATGTGTTAGGAAACAATCATTGGAGAAGGATGTCATGCTGGGTAAGGTGGAGGGTCAGAGAAAAAGAGGAAGACCCCAATGAGATGGATCAGCCAAGTGGCATCATTGATGGACTCGGGGGTGGCAGCAGTAGTGAGGTTGGCCCAGGATCGGACATTGTTTCGTTCTGCTGTGCATGGGGTTGCTATGAGTCGGTTCCGACTCGATGGCACCTGACAACAACACCTACGATGTGTTAGGTTCCCAGGTGGTGTGAACGCTTTGCACTGGACTCCTAACCTGAAGGTTGACAGTTGAGACCCACAGCCGTGTTATGGACGAGAGAGCTGGTCCATAAACATTATTGTTGTTGTTCCCTGTGGAGTCCATTGTAGCTCATAGTGATCCCATATAGCAAAGCACAACTTCCCACAATGTTTGTTAGGCTGTGCTCTTTGCGGGAGAAGATGACCAGGTCTTTCTCCTGAGGAGCTGCGTAGTGGATTCAAACCACCAACCTTTTGACTAGCTGCAGCGATTAACCATTGTGCCACCACTCATGTCTTGGAAGTTTACAGCTAAGAAAACCCTGTGGAGCATTTCTACTGTGTAACACATGGGTCACTATGAGTTGGAGTTGACTTGATGAGAACAGGTTAAGTTACTTGCTATGACCCAACCATTGGCCTAACCACTGGATCTATAAGGGGATGCAAAATGTTCATGTGACAAAAATTCATTATCTTTCCATTCTATTTTCCACAAACATTTTGAAGCCCTTGTGTATAGCAGGAACAAAATTAATAAAAGTGCCTGCCCATTAGGAATTCATAATCTAGACTAAGAAGATGTATAAGGTTTCCAGGAAGCAGCTGGTGGGTTTGAACCACCAACCTTGCATGTAGTTGTTGTTGTTATGTGTCATCGAGTTGGTTCCAACCTGTAATGACCTTGTATAGGTTTTCTGAGGAGCGGCTGGCGCGCTTGAACCGCTAACCTTGCAGTTCTAACCGACTTTTTAGTCCAGCATATTAACACACAGCGCCACACCAGGACTGAGTTTAGTAGTCCAGTGCTTATCCTAAAGTGCCACACCAGGACTCCAAGGAGATGTTGCATATGTAATTAAGTAAGGTGTGTACTATGTCAAATAGTGAACAGTGCTTTGGTGAGAAATGGCCCAGGAAGAGGTCCAGGATGTTCAGGGAGAGGTGAGCAGGAGCTCATGGCTTTATAAATGCCTGAGCTGGGTGTCTGCGCAGCATCTTACAAAAGAGGGCTGATTCTGAGGTCTTAAGGTTTATTAAATAAAAGCATTGCAGGTAAGGATACATGTGTGTTTGTTTTTCTTCTAAAAAATGGTGCAGGCTTTTTTTGAACATGGATTTATGCTAATCATGCTTTACTTATCTGGGAACAATAAATTATGTATTTTATGGATTTGGATAAAATGACAAGTTCATATTTAATGATAAGTAAATGATGTTAACATTTATAGATAAGCAAACTTGATCTGTTCCTAATTTGTTACACAGATAGTTTTGGTTTTCTGAACACAGTCTAGTTAAGTAAGAAGCAATTAAAATAAGGACTGATGATGAAAGAACTATGGAATTAATACAAATTTCCATTTTAGAGTTAAAAGATCTTTTAAAAAATAGCCATGTTATGGTTTACCAGTAACTATGCATCTCTTATAAATTAAAACGTCCATTTCACATCTTGCTTATAGCTATTTCTTGTTTTGTTTATACAGGCATCCTCAATAATTAAGTTTCAGTTACCTGATTATATAATGAGAACATTGAAAATAGACCTCAATCCCTATTCCCTGTTTAAATATTTCCACTGTTTTTTCTATTTTTCTCATCTACACAATGGTATAATTTTACTTTTTTTTTTTTTTTTCTGGTGTTAGCTACTCCAATTACAATAATAGGTAGCCGTATGTACGTGATTGTATTGATATTTTAGTAAAGCATTATGAAGAAATATTTGTGGTGTATAACCCTGTGTATTACCATCATATTAAGAAAGTTTTAATTATTTGTGGAATATAATTCTCTTAATAAACATTGGTCTTATTTCTTCTATATAGTCCATGATGAATTTTTTTTTCTATTCTAGAAAATGCATTGTTTTTTTCTTACAAAGTTTACTCTAAAATTGTTATTTGAATCTTTAGGTTAATTTATGTACTGTCAATTTCTGTAATTAAATAAGAATATGAAAAAAATCTAAATTAGCAGGAACAAAAGAATTTTAAATTTCTTATTCTGACATTGTATCATCATAGATATAAAATTAATTTTATTTACTGAAGTACATAAATGGAAAAATATATTTAGTATTTTAAAAGTTCCCATTAATTTTTCAAATCCAATTTATGTGATTTTCGAGAGTGTTTCTCTGAAATTAAACCTCATACCAGGGTAAATTTGCGACTAGGTTTCCAGTTTCTACATGCATAGGTTTATTCTAAACAAAACCTATTTACACATGTCACTGTGATTTGTATATGGCTACAGACAAGTTCGAGTCCTGGTGTAGCACTTTAGGTTAATGCGCCAGACTGAAAAGCCATTTGAACTGCAAGGTGGGCGGTTCAAGCTCACCAGCTGCTCCTCGGAAACCCTACACAGGATTGCTATGGGTTGGAACCGACTTGATGGCACTTCACAACAACAACAACAGACAAGTTCTCTCAGTAACATGTGCCTTTGCCTTGTTAGGGTTCCTTCAAAAACAAAAAGGGGTATACTTTTGGGGCCATGGAAAACATGAATTTTTAAGGCAGTGCTAATATCAAATTTTTAACAAAAGTCAAATGAACGTCTTCTCAAGTCATTGAAGTTTTGCAAGAAGTTTACAGGAATGCTGTTCCACAAAAACAAGGTTTTAGATGGATGGAGCATTTTAAGAAAATTGGGAAGACCTAGACATTTGTTTAGAGAGTAAAAACAATTAACCTCAATGAATGAAGAAACTAGCTAAAATCTAGAAACTAGTAGAAGGAAAACATAGAATTACCATTGATACAATAGACTGCAGTTGGGATCTCACATAATTTGGCATTTTAAACTTTTAGTGAAATCTTAGCCTCAGCAAGCTTTCAGCTTGATGAGTGCCAAAAAGATTGCATGAAGATCAGCTAGCTGAAAGAGCTATCTTTCCATTAATCTTTTAAGCTCCATCAAAGCTAATGAAAATGATTTTATGGAAGAATCGGAACTGTGGGCAAGTCTTGGATTTACCAGTATTATTCAGAAAGCAAAGTCTAATCAAAGCAGTGGCTTCCCAGGGGTATGACTAGTTTTTGTGAATTCCAAAGGGTAATCATGATAGGTTTTCTGGAATGACAGGAGCCCTATGGGGTTTATAAGGAAGAAGTTTTAAGAAAATTTAAAACTGCATTGGTGAGAAAAAGACCTGTCATGACAATATACTTAACTAATTCTTCAAGAGTATCAAGGGATGTACAATGAGAATTTCGTTGAGACGCCTTCTTCAATTCACTACACA